GCACTGCTCTGCACTGCTCTGCACTGCTCTGCACTGCTCTGCACTGCTCTGCACTGCTCTGCACTGCTATGCACTGCTCTGCACTGCTCTGCACTGCTCTGCACTGCTATGCACTGCTATGCTCTGCTATGCACTGGTGTTCACTTCAAGTATTTAGAAAAGGTCTCTTCACGCGACTCTAATTTTAACGGATTTTGAGTGTCTAGAGAAACAAACATAGATAAATAACAATACAGATAAAATATGTCATTATGGTTTTTTCGTTCACAATAACCCTGAGGCAGAAGCTTAAAGGAGTTAGGCGCATGCCGCGTTAAATGACAAGACAGAAAACAGGGTTATTGTGACGAAAACCCCCTAAATCTTGAAAAGACAAAATCTAGTGTTTTATCTGTGTTGTTATTAATCTATGGAACCTGCAAGTATATGATATTGTAGGGAAATCTGTTTCTTTCTCTACTACTTCTTCCTTGGAATTCAGATTACACACTGCACTGTTCGGCTTCTACTGGTGTTTAAGGTTATCTCAAATTAGACAATGTTCATCTGTTTTATTTATTATTATTATCAATATTTGTTCTTAAAAGGACTGTACGCGAAATTAACAAAATTTATTTTATAAATAATGTAAAAGATATTGTAATTTTTCTAGGTTTAAAAGTGTATAATTCTGATAATTCCTGTAAATTTTGTAGAGAAACCACATTTGAAATCAATCAGCTTTTAAAAATATTACACAGCCCCGTGTTACCATTGAAATAAAAAAATCGAATTCTGAAAAAAATGGTTAAATTTTTTTTTGATTTTTTAGCCTTTCTTAACCTCAAGTACCCATGGGGTTCCCTAAACAAATTTCAGCTAATTTGGTCCAGCCGTTTAACCAGCTATAGCTAACATTATATATTTCTTTATTATATGTATGTATGTAAATATATGTATTGTATATACATATGAGCGAAGGATCAGCTGACTAAAAAGGCTAAAAAATGATTAAAACTACAGAAAAACAACAACAACAAAAAAGAGAAAAATATATAAATTACATTGGCAAAATTATATCTCGGGCAACAGCCATCATGCAGAAGAATTTTGAAACTTCAAAATTTAATCAAATTTGCTACAAAAATGAAAACAACAATCGATCAGAATTTTTTTAAGAAACATAAAAAATTTCCAGATTCCTCAATTTTGGTTCCAAATTCTGGCTCTAGTCACCAGTATTACTTATTTTGGATCATTCCTTACAAAACATCTGTTATGTGATTCCAATTTGGTTTTTAAGCTACTAAAAGCAATGTCTCCTAGTACGCTAAAGGTATGAAATAAAAAGGTTCCTAAAATAGTTATTTTCAGTGGACCAACAGTATGTTCCCATATGACCCCTGTAGGTTCACGAGAAGAGTCTTGGTTCTAATCTTCGGGATTATTGGAATACCCTGGCTGGTTAATCTCATTCTCAAGCTTAAGTCAGGTATTAAACCTTATTCTCAAGCTTAAGTCAGGTATTAAACCTTATTCTCAAGCTTAAGTCAGGTATTAAACCTTATTCTCAAGCTTAAGTCAGGTATTAAACCTTATTCTCAAGTTTAAGTCAGGTATTAAACCTTATTCTTAAGTTTAAGTCTGGTATTAAACCTTATTCTCAAGTTTAAGTCTGGTAATAAACCTTATTCTCAATTTTAAGTCTTATATTACCTTATTCTCAAGTTTAAGTCAGGTATTAAACCCTATTCTCAAGTTTAAGTCTGGTATTAAACCTTATTTTCAAGTTTAAGTCTGGTATTAAACCTTATTCTCAAGTTTATGTCAGGTATTAAACCTTATTCTCAAGTTTAAGTCTGGTATTAAACCTTATTCTCAAGTTTAAGTCTGGTATTAAACATCATTCTTAAGTTTCTGCCTAAGTCAGGTATTAAACCTCGTTCTCAAACTTAATTCAGATATTAAACCTCATTTTCAAGCTTAGTAACGTACTAAACCTCATTCTCAAGCTTATGTCAAGTAATCAATCTCATTTTCAAGCTTAAGTCAGGTATTAAACCTTATTTGTAAGCTAAACTCAGGTATAAAACCTCATTCTAAAGCTTAAGTCAGGTATTAAGTTAAGGATTAAAACCAATTTTCAAGCTTAAGTTAGATAGCTTATGCCAGGTATTAAACCTCATTTTCAAGTTTAAGTCAGGTATGAAACCTCATTGTCAAGCTTAAGTTGGGTTTTAAACCTCATTATCAAGCTTAAGTTCGGTTTTAAACCTCATTCTCAAGCTAAGTTAGGCAGTGAACCTCATTTTCAAGCTTATGTCAGGTATTAAACCTCATTTTCAATCTTAAGTCAGGTATTAAAACTTACTTGTAAGCTAAAATCAGGTATTAAACCTCATTCTCAAGCTTAAGTCAGGTATTAAACTTCAGTCTTAAGCTTAAGTTAAGGATTAAAACTATTTTTCAAGCTTAAGTTATGTAGCTTAAGCCAGGTACAGTTAAACCCTAAATGAGCCATACATCGAAAGAATTTATCAAATGTCGTCTTGCAAATTTTTAAATGGGTTTTATACTGTTTTACGTAAATCTCATGAATTTGCGTAAATAAATAAATAGGTATTAATATGCGGGAACAGTTTCAAAGAGTTCCATATAATCATTAAATTAAAAGCTAAATATCTGCAACATTCCATTATCAGAAAGTGAAGAATACGACATTTGATGAATTCTTTCGATGTATGGCTTATTTAGGGTTAAACTGTATGAAACCTCAATTTCAAGTTTAAGTCAGGCATGAAACCTCACTATCAAACTTAACTCAGGTATTAAACCTCATTATCAAGCTTAAGTTGGGGTTTAAACATCATTATCAAGCTTAAGTTGGGTTTTAAACCTCATTCTCAAGCTAAGTTAGGCAGTGAACCTCATTTTCAAGCGTAAGTCAGGTATTAAACCTCACTATCAAGCTTAAGTTGGGTTTTAAACCTCGTTCTCAAGCTAAGTTAGGCAGTGAACCTCATTCTTAAGCTTAAGTCAGGTATTAAACTTCATTCTTAAGCTTGAGTTAAGGGTTAAAACTCATTTTCAAGCTTAAGTAATGTATTAAACCTCATTCTCAAGCTTAAGTCAGGTATTAAATGTCATTCTTAAACTAAGTTAGGCAGTAAACCTCATTTTCAAGCCTAAATCAGGTATTAAATCTTATTTTCAAGCTTAGGTTAGGTATTAAACCTCACTCTCAAGCTTAAGTCAGGTTTTAAACCTCATTTTTAATCTTAATTGTGAGGTATCAAACTCATTCTCAAGGTTAAGTCAGGTATTATTATCAAACCTTATTCTCAACCAGGCTTAACTCTCCGGTTTTAAAGAACACACAGTCCAAATCTTCACTCGTATAATTCAACAAGAACCTTAGCTATTTTTCAAGCTATATTTGATTCAAATGCCAATTTTCAAGGTAAGATTCACGCTCGTAAATTTCAACAAGAACACAAACTTTTCAAGCTACATTCAATTCAATGTTAAATCAACCAGCAAAGATCTTCGCTTGTATGTTTTAACAAGAACTAAAGCTTTGTTCCTATAGCGTACTATATGCTTCTGATAACTTAATCAAAAGCCGATTCTCAATCAACTTTATGCAATAGCTTAGGTTACAAGGTTACAACAGGAATTGACGTAATTCGATTTCTACGATATCATTGATATTACATGATTAAGACCATCGTATTATGAAGTTTAAAGTTTAAGGTACATATTTAAAGGATTAAAGAGATTAGATATAACGCAGTAAGTCTGTCTCTGCCCATATAGCTTAATTTAAGTATGTCACATGACAAGTATTGAAATGCAGTTTCAATGAATAATACCATTATGTCTAAGTTTAAAACATTTAACCCTATCTCTGCTGGGGTACTTGAAAACCAGGATATGCTGGGGCCCCCCCCTCTAAATCCCATGTTTGATGTCCAAATATGACAAATGATACATCATTGGAAAGCTCTTGTGCTCTACTTTTAGAATCTGCAAAAAAAATTTGAAAATTTGCAAAAATTGAATTTTTTATCGCAAAATCCAGTTATATAGTAAAAATGTTTGCAAAAAAAAATTTGCCCAAAAAATGAAAAATCATACATTTTTGAAAAGCCCTTGAATTCGTTTGCAATCCGTGCAATCCGTGCAATCCGTTTCCTTATGTCAAAGGCTTTCCAAAAAGCTAAATTTTATCAAAATCTGACAAGTGGAAGTGGGTCAAATCAAAGATTTAGTTTGTTACAGGAAAAGCACTCATTCAGGCAGTGTGCCTGAGGACTCAGGCAGTTAGTATCAGAGCCCGGTTTTAGGCCTAAAGGGAGGGCTTTGGGTATGTAGGAAAAGTCAAAAAATTTCAACAGTCTCAGACCAATACTTTTTGAGTTATGTAAAAAAAACTAAAGGGGGGGGGTCAAATTGACCCCCCCCCCAGCAGGAATAGGGTTAATCATTTATGATTTACAACGTACTGCAAGTTTATAGAATATCATGTTTACGCTACAAGGTCACTTAAAATTACGATGACAGTTTCATTAAAATCTCCAAATGTTAAGGAAAAATCACCGGAAATATAGAAGCGTTCAACATGGACATTGACCAGGTAAGGCATAGATTAATTAAAATAACTGTTATGATAGTAGATGTAGTCTTTTCAAGGAGTTTTGCACAGTCGGAGTAGAACAGACTCTCTCTGTCTTGTAATTCTACGTGGACCAGACTGATCGAAACTCCTCTATAAACAGAGATTTTAAAATACTGTCGAGTTTAATAATTATGTTTTAAGAATATTCACAGCCTGGACAGAATTCAGATTGTTCTTTATACACTGCTGGTGCTTACCCAAGGTAACAAATAAGCATATCTTTTTGAAATTCTTGAGAATTATTAATCAATATTAAAAAAGTTCAAGAAAATTTCCAGAGAAAATTTTGATAGATTTGGTGAATTTTTTACATCAATTCAGGCCTTCCTCTGTTTCTCTAACAAAACACCGATTAGCCTTTTTACATTTTTGTATCTACAAAAAATCCGTCAAATTACTACGCTGTGAAAGTTAAAAATAAACAAGGCGATAGTGTCAAAAATGAAAGTAATAGCTAGAATGCCCGCTCACCCCCCGGCCTAGCTGTTTAGGGTTATGTGAATTTCATTTTTTTATCCATCTGTTTTACTCAGCATATCTACTTGGGGCTGTGTTAGTCACCAGATGGTTTCTAAGGTAGAATTTTTATAAAACATATTTCATTATGATTTTTATTTTTTATGGTTAAATAGCGCAAAACTTGATCTTTAGGTGGAAATCTTATTAAATCTTTAATTAAAAATGAAAAATCTTATTGTTAAGACAACAAATTGTTTTCTGCAATGCCTTTGTTGCAATGGATATCATAAGAGAATTAGAAATTTTATTCCGCAAAAACTTACCAGATGTACAGTTGTGCACTTTCATAAAGACTTTTTTTTGATATTTAACAAATCAGCATATTTTTCATTTTTACTCAAAACAGTTTTCAGCTAAATTCCTGAAATTTAATAAAAAGTTTTTGCGCATTTAAACCCTATTTTTATAGATTTTTTTTGAAGGAAAAAGGGCCAACGAGCACCAATATATGCAGGAGAACAAAAGGACATTCCGAAGTAAGAACTTTAAAAATGGCAAGAATATCTTCTTGAAACTGCAATACGCTTTAATCATATACAAAGGAATCAAATCGTTGCCGCAAACTCAAATTTTTCTAATGTTTATATCTTTGCAACCAGATGGTGTACACCTTTGGTTTTTTAAACTTAGGTTGTTTGATCTAAAAGAACTTGTATGTTTTAATTACAACATTGGGTTGCAAATATATAAGGATTAGAAATCAGAGTTTGTGGCAAATACTTAATATCTATTCAGGAAGTTCTTTTAAAGGGACTGTTAGCCTAATTTTCGTGCAAAGATGGCAATGCCTTATTTACAACGGTACCATTGAAACTTTAATATGATCAAGATTGTGGAAGATATCTTGTAAACTTAAATTTTGAATTCATTTTGTTTCAGAGGCCTGGTGTCATTTAAAGTATTGATGATAACCTTCCTGGTCTTACTCGTTCCTGTTGGTGTACAATTTGCTTTAGTAAAAAGTGAAGATGAGAGTAGGGTAACATATTAACACATGTTCCGACTGTGGGGGGGGGGGCAATATTAACCTCCCTTATGGTTTTTGGCGAGAACTCAAAAAGCAGTTGAGGGAGGGATGGGTGGTTCTCAGGGTTTTGGAGGAATCCCTGGATTTGGAGATATCGGAAGAAAACTAAGAATAAACATAGTTTTCCTCAGATATCTTGATAATTTGATGATTTTTGATATAGTGCGCGCCCTATAGAAGGCTCCAAAGAGTCTTTGTCGTAAACAAAAATTTTCAATCCCTATATCTATCGAACCTGATGGTGTGAATCTTAAATATTTTAAACTTAGATTATTTAAGATCTCAAGTATCAAAGGTCTACAACATTGGACGGCAAAGATATAGAAGTAAGAAAAATCAGACCGGTGGCAAAGACTCAATTCCTTTGACATGGCACAATACTTATTTGTGAGTGTTGATTGAAAAATGCATTTTTAATGGCGAACTATCAATTATAAAGATTTTTTTAGGCGAAACATTTATTTCCTTTTTATTTAAAATTTTAACAATGAATATTTAAAAGAGTTTTAAATCCTTTGTTTCAGGGAAAGATTCTTAACGTTTTTTTCTTGGTAAACTCTTGGTTTATCTACCACCTACTAATCTTCTTCAAAAGTCCTGTCAGGTAATCTTTAGAACCAACAAGGCTAAACAACTTGGATCGTTTAGAAAAAGAAAACTATTTTAAACTAAAGTAAAACCCTAAAACGAACAATTTAAACTCGTTTGAGTGAACTTTAAAAAACAATCGTGTTTTACTAGCTGAAAGAACACATATTTAAAAATAAAAAAGCATTTTTTTCACTGAACGAACGATTTGTTCCAACAAATGTTTTCAAAAACTATAGTTTTTCACTGAACGAACGATTTTTCAAACAAAGTTTAAAAAGCGGTAGTCTCTTACTTAAAGAACGATGTTAATGAATTAACAATTTTACTGAGAGAACGTTTTTACTAAACGATCGTTTTGTGAGAAAATGAACGAAATAGATGGAAAATAAACGTTGCAATTTTGAGAAGAAACAAAAACAATTTTTTGAATGGTTGAAAACGATTGAAAACGATGAACGAACAAAATGTAGAAAAAAACGAACAGCCCATCTCTGAAAATTGAGATATGCGGTACTGCAATTGAAAAAAAAACAATTTAAAGAAACTAAAACATAGTAATTTAACTCATACTTGATTTTAAGTTTTTAAAGGGTATAGTTGTACCATTGCCAATCTTGCAGAGGGTCATCGTTTATTGCTCACACAATATATCCACTATAACAATATAATTGTTGATTGCTTCTGATGATAATTATCCTTGTAAGCTGAGAACTCTTGTGTTGTTGTTATTGATCTTGCTCTTCTGTTAATCTGCAGATTAATGTTATCTCTATTTAATGAAAAATCTTTAAACATTTATTCTCTTTAAGAAAATTTGTGAAGAGGAAGATGAAAGCCGAAAAAGACGAAATGGACTTGAAGATTCGAGGCTGGTAATAATTAATTACTTTAGAAATATAGATATTAATACTTTCACAAATAGAGATGATCTTTAAACAACTTTTTTTAAAGTTATGACTGTTTAAAGGGAGTGTTCCCGAAAAATGAAAGGGGTATAGGCTTCATGCGACAAAAAAGCGCTTTTGATCGCTACTAATCTTACTTCTATCTGTTGCGTCTATAAGGAGAAAATTGTTAAAGACGTCTCATACCGAATAACTAAGCGGCCATACAAATTGAGAAAATTACAACATACTACTTAGACTGTAAAAAATCAATTTAATTTTAAACAAATCATTTAGATATTACAACCTATAGTCATCGATTATCTTTCGCCACATTTATATATAGTTTATATTTTAAAATATTTTATTTTTTAAGAAAACGTTTTTAACGGATTTCGAAAATTGTGAGTGGTGTGCGGCATTCTTAGATAGTTACGCAAGCGACAAGAGAAATAAGCCTATACCCCCTTTCATTTTTCGCGAACACTCCCTTTAAGGGTGTTCGACTTTCAGAAGGTTCCCCAAAAATCTAAAAGGGGTTTGCCTAGAAATTTTAGGCACGCTTCTGTTTAAATTTGAATATAATACTCATTCATCTTTAATAGATATAATTGATTTTGATCTTGTTTCGTTAGTATAACATGGCCAGAATTTTCACCAGTGCCAGCGCAGTATCTGGTCATGCTCCGTCAACCATATTGCGTAATGAGGTTTTGTATAACTTGTACACAGTTATATATCAATTTTTTGAGACAGAAAAACTATTATTGGAAGCAATCAAGGCCTAAAACTTTTAGATTTTAGCCTATACCCCTTTATTTACATTAACTGTCCCTTTAAAGGAAAATTTGGTGGAAGAAGAAACGTTCAATCTCTGTGGAAACATCTCAAAATCTCCCTGCACCTGTCAGTGCTCGCCCTAGAGTTTATCAAACAGTCAGTTCATCTGCAGGAAGTTTAATTGGAGTACAACCCAGCCATGTGAATCTTCAAGCAAGAGTTGATGGTCGCCATATTGGATCTCAATCAGCTGTTTCAGGAGTGGCGGGAAATCTTGGAATCACATCAGCTGATATTCATCTTTTCAGTTCTCAAGCCAGCAATAGAGATGTGAACAATGTGTTTTATAATTCAGAAAACGAAAGTGTAAACCTGCCATCGGCAAGAATCTATTATGTGCGACCAGTTGTTCATCAACAAGATCCAAATTGATTTACAAGTCGGATAGGGCACAAAAAAAGGAGGGGGGGGGGGAGAATGGCGATTGCACACCCTTATATCTTTAATGAAGGGGGCGAGGGACGGTATATCCCCTCTTTGATATCGTAAAATTAAAATCCTGATAAGAACAACAGAAAAATAAAAAGATTTTGCCATTTTAAAATTCTTTTTTCTTGTCCAAAAAATTAACCCTTTCCAATTTAAAGTAATTCATGGTTAACAATTACAACAAAATTTGTTATTTGTTTTCAAGTCATAATTTTTCATAATTTAGGCCTGATCGGATCAGGCGTTTTGTCGTTTTTTTTTGATACAGACAAAAAAGACAGACAAACAAATAATGTTTCTATATAGATTTAATCTATATTATATATGTAAATAATGTTTATATATAGATTTAATTTATATTATATATGTAAGTATGTAAATAATGTTTATATATAGTATAAACTTAATCAAAACTCAAGTATAAAGAACTCAATAAAGGGAACTTTGCAAAGAGAAACTCAATATAACAAGCCAGATGGAATCGATTAAAACACTAACTTTGCACGGACATTTATTTTACATTATTATTAAAATACAAACTGAGGATCAACCGAAGTTAATCCTGGAATCATAGATGGAGCTAATTCTCCTCCCGGAGCTACTGGAGATGTTATCGACCGCTCTCCTCTGATACTTCCTCCAGACTAACTCTCTTCTGGGGGACAAAATGGACGTTCAGTTTACTTTCTCTGCCGACGAAAGCACCGTTATCCGTGTTCCCCAGATAAGGGTCACCAGGGTTTGAATCTCGCTTCCCTGGAAATTTCCTCTCCCCGTTGGTAACAGATCCAGAGTAACGGGTTAAATCATTATTATTTGTTTGTCCAGTTCTCAACTCATGATAAAACTTGGCTTGGGTTGAATGAACTAGAATACAATCTCCAACGTATATACATCCTTGTTGGTGGGTTTACAATAGATTTAATCTATATTATATATGTAAGTATGTAAATAATGTTTATATATAGATTTAATCTATATTATATATGTAAGTATGTAAATAATGTTTATTCAAAAGATACTCTTACCTCCTTTTTTTAAAAGGTCTGTTTACTGTTTTTAGCTAAATAAATGAATGATGTTTACTCATATATGAGAATAATTATGGACGTCTTAAATTTCCTCTACAGACGGGTATGTGAACAGTGCAGTGACTTGAGGCCCATATTCAGGCAGTCCTTGATACGAGTATCCTAGGCTTGCAGACCTAAGCACTAGGCACTATGCAGTATGCTTACGCAGACTCAGGTAGTTATACAGAATATCAGGTTTTTAACCTTAGAGTAAATACCCCCCCTGACAATCCCAAAGACTAAGTACACTCAACTCTACTCTCACCTCTCTCTTGTTCCAAGAATACTCATTCGGCCAACTGCAGTTCAACATAAAAGTTAATACTTTCTATATATAGATTTAATCTATATTATATATGTAAGTATGTAAATAATTTTATATATAGATTTAATCTATACATCTATACATACAGTTAATTTAAACAACTGAATACAATACACTTCAATATAAAAATTAAAGATTAAGGTAAGATTTGATTTTTTACAAAGAATAAGATTTTAAGCTTACTTTCATTTCATTATTCGAGTGGAAAGTTTAACATCTCTCACCACGCGTAGCCGTAGTACATTTGAATTTCCAAGCTGGGTCAACTTTTCTGGTCCCAGTTTATACTGTACCGCCCGGACATTGGCTAAATAAAGCAGACACTTAATAGGACTAGCCGGTGCAACAAGGTTGACACTGTCAGACTTTAGGTTTAATTTACTTTTCATAAAGGGTCAGAGGTGCGTGAATAGGACTAGCCGGTGCAACAAGGTTGACACCGTCAGACTTTAGGTTTAATTTACTTTTACTAAAGGGTCAGAGGTGCGTGAATAGGACTAGCTGGTGCAATAAGGTTGGAACGTCAGACTTTTGGTTTAATTTACTTTTACTAAAGGGTCAGAGGTGCGTGAATAGGACTAGCTGGTGCAACAAGGTTGACACCGTCAGACTTTAGGTTTAATTTACTTTCACTAAAGTGTCAGAGGTGCGTGAATAGGACAGCTGGTGCATCAAGGTGGACACCATCAGACTTAAGGTTTAATTTACTTTTACTAAAGTGTCAGAGGTGCGTGAATAGGACTAGCAGGTGCAACAAGGTTGACACCGTCAGACTTAAGGTTTAATTTACTTTCACTAAAGTGCCAGAGGTGCGTGAATAGGACTAGCCGGTGCAGCAAGGTTGACACCGTCAGACTTTAGGTTTATTTACTTTTACTAAAGTGTCAGAGGTGCGTGTCACAAATGTATTTTAAGTCTAAGATTTCTATCTTTGAATATTTAGAAAATTAATCGAAAGAACTTACTGCAAACTTGACAGAAGAGTTTATACGACATTGTCATTTTCTTTTGTTTTCCATATCAGCGGTTTCTTTAAATTCTAATGGAAATAAGTTCTTACCACAAACTCTAATTTTATAATCTCTATATCTTTGCAACCCGATGTCGCAGACCTTTGATATTTCAAACTATGAATTGCAAATATTTAAGGAATTAGAAGATTTGAGTTTATGGCAAAAATTCTGTTCCTTTGTGTACAGTGAGACGGTATGAGAACTAAGAACAAGTTTATTTGCAAATTACATAACCTTTAGAATTGCATTTTGTAATAAAATTCTAAAATAATTTCACTACATTTTGGTTCTAGCAGTATTCTTTTTTCTAAATTCTAAATTGTGAATACATTCATAACCAGAAAACTCAGGAATAGAAAGACGACTTTACAGCAATACTTCATTGTATTTGTTGTTGTTACATTGCAAATAATTTTACTAGACACTTTTTTATACGTTAATAATGCACAATTGCTGTGTCCCATGCTCATTGGACTAATTCAAGGCTTAACTTGAGTCTAAAAGTTGTCTTTCTATTTTAGAGTTTTCTGTTAATCACTGTTGTATCTCTAATACTTAATGATATCCTTAAAAGGAATGCAATTAAAAAAAAAAAGATTCAGATTATTTTTTTTTGTTCTATTTCGTTTTCTCCAGTTTAAATGTTTATTTCATGAAGACATTAGTTACATATGTATGTCAACACCGTTGGTCAACACGTTTTACGGTTTTAAATGAAAATTTGGTTAGCAAGGTTTACACATCTTTTTTTCTTTAAGTTTTTCTTTTTACGTTAAATAATACAAAAAAGTTAAGTTGGACGCTTTTTCAATGATTTGCAGATTTGAAGATGAAAAGTCTATTATTAACTAAATTCTATGTTTTTAAGTGTTGAAAGGTGTCGATAAACTTTGCACAACTTGGAAACTGATTACAGTTAAATGGTTACCCCATTTTCTAACATATATTCGTCCAAAATTACAAAATTAATGAAAAGAGAGTAGTAGGGAAGTTTAAAAAATATTTTTTTATTTGAGATTTGAGATCACTAATCGCCTTTTTTTAAATAAATGACCTTACAGATCCAAAATGTTTCTCTTGCTCTATGTAGAAACTATGTATATATAACCTAGGGAATAGGAATAAAGGGAAAGGTAATGGCGCTGGTCTGGCATGAGAAAGCCAGTCCCACTGCTTTGCAGACAAGTTCGGTATTCCTTACACACACTCTTTTGGTACAGACACACAACATGACTACAGTCAAGGAAATTGCAGAACAATTTCGTCAATTATAATTAAACTTAAATAACGAGTAGTTTATTGAAAACTTTAATCAAATTATATTCTTTGCATACAAATTTGGCTTTATAGTGTTGACTTAAATATGTAAATAATATATTACATGTATATTAAACTTATTTTTAAGTAAAGAATTAACAATAAACAAATGTACTCTCTTGACTGTATAAATACCGAGATTCTTATGTACTGTATATACCTACAGTACACACCTTCGGTTCGGTATTCCTTAGTCCTTACACTAACTCTTTTGGTACAGACACACACACATGACGTTTCCGCCCCCTGATATATAATCAAAATCACAAAGACCCAGAATTAATTTAAAATAGAATCAGACGAGTTCACAATCTATTTTTACAAAAATGATAACTGAAACGATAGTAACAAAATGGCCCTGATCCTACCAATTCTAAAATGTGGTCTGCCTTTATTGTGAGTTTAAAATTACCAAAGATATATATGTAAAGTCGTCTGATTAACTGCCATTTAACTGTCTTTCTGGTTATGACTGGTTGTAATCTCTGTTTGTATGTTTGTTTGTTTGGTTATATATCCTATCATAACTCAGAAACCTCTTGGACAATTTGCCTCAAATTTTGCTTGGGAAACTTAATAGAACCACGGGAATGTTCTTAGCTTGGTTTTGAGATTCTAACTTGAGTTAGTACACTTTTATAGGGAAAAACAGCTAAAATTGTAATTTACGACCAAGCGCGAGTAAACGGCGGGATTAAAAAGTGTACTGGGAAACGCTGGTTTCCCAAGCTACAGTGATACCAGAAAACTCTGAAATATGAAATCGACTTTTAAACTCAAATTATAACTTCAAATAGTCCAATGAGAATGAAACACAGTAATTGTTCAGTGTAAACAGACCCATTTCACTTCATAAGTGATTTAATAAGTTAATAGTAAAGCTTTATAACAACAAAACTGCACTTTAGTATTAATTTATTGTCGTCTTCTTATTCTACAGTTCACTGGTTATCACTGTAGTATTGTATATGAATAAAAATCAATAAAGCAATGCACTGAGTTTCTCAAATATTCAACGAGTCGGTTTTTCTTACAATATATTAATATACAAAAGATACAAAAAATACAAACTTTAAATCGAACGATACTTATACAAACTAAATATTATGAATCAAATCAGTTTCATCAAAATAGGGGAATTCTTCAAGGGAACCTCAGTTTAAGGGAGCTGATGATCAACTAACTCTCCTCCTTCGATTTTGCTCCATCCTAGGATCGCATTTAACCCTAGCTACCCCGGGGTTGTTCCGCCCCCTCCCCAACGCTTGGGTCTTCAAGATAACGGAAAATTCGGCGTCGCTTGGGTTATTTAAAGAATCCAAATGCAAACTCAAATAAATCCGTTAGGATTCAAAATAGGACTCTAAAGTCCAACCGTAGGGTTAAA